AAGGTGGTGGCAGAGTATGGGAGTTACAAATGTTTGCATTCGGACTGTAATTATATTCTTCATGGGAGCTGCGTAAAAAAGAATAAAGGTCGTCTTTATATCGAAGTTGAGTCAGAAAATGAGGAAAGTAATAATGAGGCTTCTTCTTCTTCAAGTTGTGCTGTGGCGCTACGAGACAAGATAGATCATTTCAGCCACAAGCATGAATTAGTGCTTGATAAGGAGGAGATTATTATGAATGGTGATAAAAAATGTTGCGATGGGTGTGTATTACCGATCTTGGAGGCCGCTTATAGTTGTCCACAACCAGAGTGTAATTTCTCCCTTCACAAGGCCTGTGCCCAAATTGGAGAGCACAAACCACATTGGGCTTCCCAAGATCCTCTTCAAGTCAGAATGAAGTACCTTTTTCAATGTCAATTTTGTAAGTATCACTGCAGCAGTTTTTATTGCTTTGAAAACAGATATGGTATTTGCTTTAGATGTAGTGAGATCGATTTCATCACTAAGCATGAAGCACATGCTCAGCACGTCCTCTTCTGTGATGAAGATCACAAGGGACCATGTAGTGGCTGCGGTAAGGAAATGGGTCGTTATGGTGGTTACAGATGCACGCTGGCAGAGGAAGAGGAGAATTGCAAATTTTTTGCCTTGGACTACAGATGCATGACACGGCCCCTTACAGCTGAACATAGGTTCCACCATCACCCTCTAAAACTCACTTATGAAGATCCTTACAAGGATGATGGTGGTGATCCATTTCAACACATGTGTGAAATCTGTGAAGATAGAAGAGATCCAAAGCTCTGGTTTTATCGGTGTGATGAGTGCGATTTTGATGCTCATCCCGATTGCGTTCTTGGAGATTACCCATTCATCAAGCGCGGGATCATTTTTTCTTATTATTTTAATAAATGTCGTTCTCATCGAGAACCTCTCAGGAATTTCCAGAGTGAGAAATATCCCTATTCGAAATGTGATATGTGTGGCCATCCTTGCAAAGATCAGCTGGCTCTTAAATGTCCCCACTCTGAATGCAACTTTGCTCTTCATTTTGAGTGTGTAATTTAGATCGGCTAAGTGAACATTGGTACAGACTGGATGGGCTTAACTGACCCAAAACGGCAAGCATTGAAGACGTTTTGATGATACATGCTTCCGCTGTTGTGCGTTCCTCTGCTATGAAAAAATTGCCAGAACCATCCCCGTGATTGCTCGATCAGTTGCTGCTTCCGCGAATGATTTCTTGCTTAGGTTTGTGCCCATCATTTGCTTTCTAAAAATAACAGGTAAGGAATTGCTAGCTATTTCCGATCAGAATTTGCTGGGTTGCTTCTCAATTGTTTTCATCTTCTTTTTTTGATTTACATAATGCAGATTCGGCCACGGGCAATGAAGATTTTGCCTTTGATTCCATGCTCTCTGTCTCAAATTTAAGGCTCATACCAGACCAAAACGATGGAGAAGAGGAAATTCACACAAAGGGATGCCTTTACTATTCTTCTGCTATAAAATCCAAATCGAAGAATCCCACTGATGTTGGCAATCTCATGCGTTTCAGAGGAGCGGGTTCTGAAGTGAGCATCCATCTCCATTGGGATCATTGATGTCCAAGCCGAGGGTGTTCTCATTCACAGGAATGAAGGTGGCGCCTTTCTCATGCACACCAACTGTTCCACATGTGGCCCGTGTGAGTTGCAATGGTTTTATTAGTAGGAATATATACTGGGAATTAGTATAGTTGGTTTAAGATTATGTTGCAATCTCATGAGAAGGATTTTCTACATAATTTATATTTCTCAGCTAACAAGAATTTAATTTAGTTTGTAAATTTGATTCCCTTCTAAATGAATTCTTCCTATGTATGCAGTGAGTTAGGTATGAGGAGTTAGGACTGTGTGCTACTCCCATTATAAATTTTATTTACCAGCTTTCATATGAAAATCCGTGGTCAAATTTACCAAGCAAAAAATTGAGGGAAACCAAAGAATACATGAAGACCATGGAAAAAGCACTGGGTGACAGGTAATTAGATTGGGATTTAATTGATTTAATTCCAGATATGGCTCAAATTTACCAAGCAAAAAATCTGTTTTGACTTTAATTTAAAACCTGTGAGATTGCACATTTGTTCAAGTAGCATAACCACCTCTTTTCATGACCTTGGTAGCAAATCTAAGATGAGTTAAATGTTGCTACTAAGTTTTGTTTTTATTTTTTGTATATAGAGACTAAAACTTAATTTAATTTTTAATCTTTTGATCTTTTCTTAGTGATATGAACTTGAATTGCCATAGTTAAAGTGTCGAGAATTTGGATTATTAAATTCTGAAGAGAATAGATGATTATAAAGCAATTTTACCAATCATCCATATTGTCTCAGCTCAAGTTTTTAATTATAAATTTGTAACCATTTGATAACCTTAGTCACATTTATAATATTTCATAGTTTTTAACTTTTATGTCTTATATGCATGGAACTAATAGGTTGATGTTAGGAATTAGAAAGGTGCTGCTAAGAGGTTAAAAGTATATGTGGTTATATAAGTCATATAAGTAAGAAGTTTATGATGAGAAAGGTTCTGGATGTTGGCAATTCAAAACTGGTATGAAATTGATTTCCTTTTGATTCATCTAATTTGGTCTTTTCAATTTTTGGAGCCACAATTACTTAATTTGAACCTCAGCTAGTTACAAGAGGAAATTGAAATAAGTAGAAACATAAATACTGCTTCTGTGTTTGGCACTTCTTAGCATGACTTCCTGTTGTTGTTCATGAAATGTTAATAAATAATTTTTTATCATTGTGTTCAAATTTTACAGCAAGTTGGCTCTTGGGATTTTTTTTTTTTTTTTGCATTCATTATATATTAATGTGTTTTTGC